AGAATAGATGGAGGAGGATGGGAGAGAAAAGGGATCCCTCCCTCCTCAGCTACCTCCCCATCCACGTCCCTCCTCCCTTCCTCCTCCTCCTCCCGTCCCCCTCCCTCTTTCCCTTCCTCCTCCTCGCCCTCCTCCCCCACCTCCAGCACTGTGCCACATCCGGGGGTGGGGCAAAAGGCCAAGCCTGGGGTCGAGGCCACCCGTTTTTCCTCCTTAACCCGGTCGTACTGCCGCTGTTCCTCCTCTTTTGACAAACAACCGTACACCTGTCGCCAAGAAGGGTGATAGGATGAAAAGACGGAGGGAGGATGCAGGCGTTCAGGAAGGGGAAAAGACGCGGCGAACGGAGCGCTACGGGCAGGCCCGAGGCGTTATGGGAGAGGGACATGACACACGGTCAATCCTGCACATGAGTGCAAGGACGACAATATCAAGCCCTCCGCACGATTGTCCTGCCCATGCACGGCAGACGAGACCTTGATTTAAAAGAAGACCCCAATTTAAAAAAAGCCCGGAGCCCCGACCGACCTGTGCATCGGTCATGCAGTAGCCGTCAAAGGGAAAGGCGGGACATGGAACAGGGACAAGCCGCGTGGCCAGGCAATGTCGTATGTAGGATAGGGCGCAGGTGCGGTGGATTTTGTGACGGCGGCATGGAAAGCTGAGGAGGAGGGTCGTGGGCGGAGGAGGTAAAGAGGCCAGGCAGATGGAGCAGGTTGATGTGGCTGATGAGGAGGGAGGGTCGAGGGACGATGGGATGGAAATGGTGGTGTTGATGTCGAGAGACAAGGATAAAGGTGTGAGAATCCTTACGAAGGCATGCGCTCAAGCCTGCCGACTGATGTAGCGAAGAAAGGGACAGAGGAATGAAGTAGGAAGAGAAATGAGGATAAGAAAGAAGTCGCCGAGAGGACATCAAATCATTATGATTGAGCGCCGCTTGCTTCAAGTAATGAGCTGTTCACTGTATGTATCCAAACAATGGAATGGATGCCAAGAAAAACTCGCGAAGGTAGAGGAAGAGAAGTGTTTCTCTTCGGAAACCCGACTAAAATAAATTTTGGTGCAGTCGGTGCGACAGGTACGAATCATCCAAATTCAACGGGGCACATGCAATCCATTTTTTTACATCAACAGCTTCTACAAGACAGATGTATTTATTCCGTTGTATTCCCATTGCTGCGTCAAAAAGAAAGCCAGAGGGTCAGGAAGACCACGGCTCCCGACTTCAGCTTCTCCCCTACCAAAGTAGCCCCAGCCAGTTCGTCCCTTCAAGCTCGAGCAATGAAAGAGAGGTATGTGTACATGTATGTGGGCGCAACAAACAGGAAGTTATTGCATTTTTCATTTGTTTTCAATGCAAAAAATATTCAATGGAACATGTGTGTGGTGTTCGCACGTCGAAGAGAAGGGACAAGGGTGCGACATGGATGAACGGAGAAACGGTTTACATGTTATTTATTCCTCATCATATAGACACTCGTGATTGTTAAACGGTCCATAGGTTATTTATTCCTCATCATTCAGACACTCGTGATTGTTAAAGGGCGAATGGGTCGCTTTTTTTATTATTTCCATGACTATCCATTACTTGAAATTATAAATCTGTACGCTCCATGTCCGGAATTTCTACTTCTGCGGGTCGAGGGGACTGTAAGAGTCACTTGGAATGCAAGCTTCTCTTGTCTGAGTTGGATACCGTACCGAATTTTGATGACAGCAGTTATCATGTACTGCAATATAACAGAGATCATATGAGGTTTTCCCTGCTTATTTCGACGTTATTTTGCCTCATCACCGAGAAAAGATAACAAATCTCACACTTTGCTCATGCAGATGCCAAGGCATCCGGCATGCGCACCCACGACGGAATGGCCGCGGGAGACGAAGCCCCCGCCGTGCATGAAGAAGGGGATGGGCCGGGGCAGGTCTTGGTCGAAGGAGGGATGGGACTGCGCGAGCATATAGCACGAGACGCCGGCGATGATGGCTCGGCCCTGGTGCCGGGTGAAATGGAGGGCGACCCACTCGGTGATAGAGATGTGCGGCGAGGTTCACGCGCGCCGCAGCAACTCGATAGGCCCGAGGCTCCTGTAAGCGCAAGCATCTCGTATGGCGATCCCAAGCCGCAGACCGTAATAAAGGAAGGAAACAGCTGTCACCGGCGCCGCGAGCAAGCGCGACCGCTAGAAATATTGGTGATAATCGAACGGAGAGTGAAAAAGAAAGGAGAACATGAGAAGCAAGCGGATAAACTATTCGTGTTCCAGCGTTGCGTGCCATACGGTTGCCGCTTCCCCTGTCCTTACGCTTCACCTGATTACATCGCATGCTTTCTTTGCTCCTCTTTCAATCTTTACTACACTTCTTTCACCATCGACACGTTGCACTCTACTTGGTGCTGTCTCCTCTCCGCCGCCTTGCATGTTCAGACCACCCTCTGTATCCCTTTGCAACCAGAGGCAGCCATCCGTGCCCGAGCCATGACCTCGAACTTATGCAGCCGGCAAAACAAGCCTACGTCCGCACTCGTATCGCTCCCTGTCTGTGTGCAAGTATCACTGGCTAATTCTCACTTCTCTACTGCTTCGCTACCGACATACCCTGCATCAGCACCGTGAATGCCGGCACCAGCCTCAAGATAAGGATAAGAAAAAGGCCGAGCAACGGCAGGACGTTTGCCGCGTGCGATCAAGGTAGCTACACCGAACTGCTCTTGCAGCTGGAGAAACGCTAAAAGAGTATGCTACTGCTTGTGGTATCAGCGGTGCCTGTTCTCCTCGTGGTCGTCGCCGCTCTACTCGGAAGGCTCGATGCCTAACTCTCTCCAGCTCCAGCCCCCCCCC